TGTAGTCTTAGTACTAGTATGGTATAGTGATCAGTAGCACATGATTGCACAATTCCCCAATCATGCCGTACATCACTATCAGAAAGTCACCTGCAGAAGGTCACTATGTCGCCCTGAAGAAGGGACCCTGCGTGGCCCCCGAAACGTTGGCTTTATGACGCATGTGACAATTCAATCAAAGTGCTTATACTTTCATGGAGTGCTGGTGACTTCTATTATGGATATCATGCCATACATGCCGCTACATGTCACATATAACTTGTATGTAGGAGGTTCAGCATGACATTGAAGCGATTAGCATACAAGAAATTGTACAAAAGCAAAACTCAGATACGCCGCCGCCGCCGCGTGTTCTATATACAGATAGACAGGAAGTGATATACAGAGCGGATCTTACACTCCGTCCCCAGCCTGCTCTCCTTCCGAGCGTGACACACAGACCGGCCAGCAGCCCCATGGCACAGTGCAGAACTCGTCTCTTCCTCCTGCACTCTCCCCTCTCTCTCCTGCACACTCGTTTGTCCCTCCTTCACGCTTCTCCCCCTCCTGCACACTCCTCCCCCTCCTGCACACTCGTCTCTCTCCTGCACTCTCCTCCCCCTCCTGCACACTTGTCTCTCCCTCTCCACTGTCTCCAGCACACTCGTCTCTCTCTCTCTCTCTCTCTCTTGCACTCTTCTCTCCCTCCAGCATTCTCCTCACCCTCCTGCACACTCGTCTCTCCCTTTTTAGCACACTCGTCTCTCCCTCCTGCACTTTCCTCTCTCTCCTGCACTCTTCTCTCTCTCCTGCACACTCATCTCTCCCTCCAACACTCTCCTCTCCTTCCAGCACACTCGTCTCTCACTCCTGCACTCTCCTCTCCCTCTCCAGCACACTTGTCTCTCTCTCTCTCTCTCTCTCTTGCACTCGTCTCTCCCTCCTGCACACTCTCCTGACCCTCCTGCACACTCTCCTCACCCTCCGGCACTCCCCTCACACTAGTCTCTCCCTCTCCAGCACACTCCTCTCTCACTCCAGCTCTCTCCTCTCCCTCCATCACTCTCCTCTCTCTCCTGCACACTTGTCTCTCCCTCCTGCACTCTTCTCTCTCTCCTGCACACTCATCTCTCCCTCCAACACTCTCCTCTCCTTCCAGCACACTCGTCTCTCCCTCCTGCACTCTCCTCTCTCCTGCACACTCACCTCTCTCTCCTGCACACTCTCCTCTCTATCCTGCACACTCACCTCTCTCTCCTGCACACTCTCCTCTCTATCCTGCACACTCACCTCTCTCTCCTGCACTCTCCTCTCCCTCCTGCACACTCGTCTCTCCCTCCAGCACTCTCACCTTTCCCTCCAGCACTCTCCTGTAGCAGGCTGATTCTGGCTGGGTGAGTTTTGGGCGCACAGTCCAGGAGGGAGGTGATGAGGATGGGGATGGGAGGGAGTCTCTCTCCTGCACCCCCTCCTCTCTCTCCTGCACACTCGCCTCTCTCTCCTGCACACTCTCCTCTCTATCCTGCACACTCACCTCTCTCTCCTGCACTCTCCTCTCCCTCCTGCACACTCGTCTCTCCCTCCAGCACTCTCACCTTTCCCTCCAGCACTCTCCTGTAGCAGGCTGATTCTGGCTGGGTGAGTTTTGGGCGCACAGTCCAGGAGGGAGGTGATGAGGATGGGGATGGGAGGGAGCAGCCAGACTCTGCACAATATTAACCCACAAGTCACTTTGTAACCAGCCGACTCAGCTATGCTGAGAGGAAGCCGGATTAACCCCTCTGTGTCCAGCTTTGTGGCGAGCTGGATTAACCCCTTTGTACCCGGTCTGGGAGCGAGCTAGATTAACCCCTGTGTACCCAGTCTGGGAGCGAGCCAGCTTAACTCCTCTGTGCCCAGCCCGTGAATGAACTGGTTTAACCCCTTTGTGCCCAGGTTGGCAGTGACCACCATTAACCCTTTATGTCTAGACTGGCAGTGATCTGGTTTAACCCTTATATGCCCAGGTTAGGTGTGAGCTGGATTAACCTCTCGGTGCCCAGAATGGCCTTGACCAAATAAACTCCTTACTGCACAGCGTGATAGTAAACTTGATTGGCCTCTCTGTGCCCAGCCTGCGGTATAGAGGCCAGTGGAGGGATTGGCAGAGGGGGGCAGGGGAAGGAAGCCAGTGTAGGGATTGGCAGAGGGGAGTTACAGACACTGAGCGGTTGGTTAGGAGAATGAGTCTAGCAGCCGCATTCATGATAGATTGAAGGGGGGAGGAGACTGTGTAGAGGTATGCAACAAATAGGGGAACAGGATGGAGTTACGCCGAACCAGATAATATAATATAATATAATATACCAGTCTCCAGGGTTTCAACAATGCTAATCAAAATATAAGGTGTCCCCAAGAAAATAGAAATCCCTTACTCGGAGCTGGTTCAGTAAACAGGTAGAAAATACGTGATTTAACAGTTTGAATATTTAATCATAGAAAAAAAAATATTGTAAACACTACATCCACAACAAGACATTTAAAAACAGTTAAAATACTTCCCTAGGGTAACAATAATGTAAGAATCATGGGTGGTCTGCACTCCAGCTAATGTGGTTTTTTTGAAGCCCGTGGACGTGCATCAATACAAACTTCCCCCTGTGAACAAAAAAAGTGAACCGTGAAATCACAGCACACAAAAACGTGCACAAGGGTGCAAGGTCCTTCCAAAGAAGGGACCTACTTTCCCGACCCCCCGGGGCGCAAGGCTCCTGACAGGGGTTGAGACTGTCGGACCACCAACCCGAAGGCCGGTGGACCGTTTCCGTCGGGGACCTGCCGAAACAGGTCCCTCACAGTACTAGGCAGGGGGGATCTCCCGAAGAGAAACCCCCCTCCTGGGTGGGAGGAGACAGAGAACCCCGTAGGAGGCACAGAATCTCCTCCCAGCATCAGGAATAGGCCCCGAAGAAACCTGCACCTTCAGCATCTGTGGGTCAATGCTTTTTAAAAAAGCCAATCGTGCATAGAGTGCATAGAGTGCATAAATAATAAAGTGCCAGTGCACCACGCTGACAGGCCTGCACTCCAGCTAATGTGGTAATAAAGAGTTGCCACCTACTATATAAATATCTCATGTACGGGTACAATGTATCCCGGGTTACTCACAACTCATGTTGCTCAGGGAGAGACAGTCCTGCTCGAGTTCCACAATGCTGGATGATGTGTTTGCTTCAATAGGTAATTGTAATTGGGATCCGGAGATGGAGATAGATAGGCAGGGCTAGAGATGCAAGCGCCCTTGCCTTTTCACTTGCTTGGGGCTCTCGCTGGCCCTCGGGCTCGAATTTCAAATTTGAGAGCTAACCCAAAAGCATTTCCATGCAGATGTGTGCGGCCGCACAATAAAGCAAAAAGGTAGATGCAGGGGGTCTCAAAGGTAGACGGTTCCCAGTACGATGATTGTGCAAAATACAGTTCCCCATATGGGGTGTCTGCACATTCATTGCCCTGACTCAGATCTGCAGGGCTGGATCTCAGTTATGTGCCCCATAACTCCCTGACATGTCATAATATACAGTAACAGTACATCAGCCTGTCTGCTGCAGGCAGGTGGAAGCATGTCTTCAGTCTCCCATCCCCCAGTGATCAGTCTGCTGCAGGCAGGTGGAAGCATGTCTTCAGTCTCCCATCCCCCAGTGATCAGTCTGCTGCAGGCAGGAGGAAGCATTTCCGCAGTCTCTCCTCCCACAGGGATCAGACTACAACATCAGCATTCATCAGCAGAGAACATCTCTTCAAACAAAAGAACTGGACTGTATCATCAATACCATATATGAAATCGTATTGTTATATTGTCCTTAGGGTTGTCAACCATTAACCCTGAGCATTGTTTGGGGATGAAGGTTGATGAACCTGGTGCTGATACCACAATTATCGCCTTCTTTTGCTGCACACTTGCTGGGGATGAGCACTATCAAACGGAGGCCAGCAGAGGGAGACCCATTACTTCTTATGACAAGTGCACTTTATTATCAGACCAATAGAGGGCGCTGCGCACTACATCACTGCCACACCTGAAAGCCCATGTGGAACCAGCAGATGGCGCCATGTTCCTCACATTTATAATTATATAAGTGAGATTGTAATTCGCGGAAAGATCACATGTGCCATCCAATGTGACACCTCCACCTCCCCGAGCTCTGCCGGAGCCACCAGAACTTCCTGTACAAAATCCCAACCTCTCCGAATTCATCAGCTTTGGCATCGGCATGCACTTCCTATACCTTCCTACCGTCTCCCATTTAGAGGGATTGTCCCTCTTTCCTCCTCATGTCCCTCTTTCCTCCTCATGTCCCTCTTTCCTCCTCATGTCCCTCTTTCCTCGTAAGGGGGGAGTTGTTCTGTAGTCCAACAGGCGAGAACTGGGCAGGGCTGAGGGCCTGTTCACACGATATGCAGTGCGTTCCGGCCACGTTCTGGCCGGAACGCACTGCATCGTATTGCGGCCGGGCTCAGTATTTTCGTGGGGCCAGAGGGGGCGTATCCGGCCACTGAAGTGAATGGCACCGTAGCCACGCCCTCCGGCCGCCATGCGATCGCCCGCACGGGATCGCAGGCTCATTGCTTACAGCATTTTGTTCAGGCCCTTAAAACGCTAGTTGGGATTTCAGCGTACCACATGGCCAGTCTGTGGGAGGAGCCAGTCTGTGGGAGGAGCCAGAATTATTGTTGGTTGCTAGGCGATCAAATACTTATTTTACTCCCTGAACTGCATCTCCATTTATAACATTTGTATCATGTGATCTCTCTGGATTTTGGTGGATATTCTGAGTGACTGGGAGATGTCATCACTGCGCTGCTTCTCCTTTCACAGTCCACTCACAGCAGAGCCGTAGCTAGCTCCTTTTGCACCCGAGGCAAGAACAGAAAATTGTGCCGCCCCCTCCCCCCCCACCAACAGACGTGTGATGTCACCCAACGCCGCACGCGCGTGGCATCATGTGACGTCATGCGCCCCCTGCCTCCAGGCAGGGGAGAGCCACGGAGATCCGAGAAGATGGAGCCTGTGCCGCTCCTCTTCTCACTGCTGAGCAGCAGCTGCGTTGGCTGCCTGGTGCCCCTGTTGCCATGGCGCCCTGTGCTTGCCATTAGTGATGGGCTGCTCCCCCTCGCCCCTGTTGCCATGGCAAGTAGTGATGGGCTCGGGCGTGTTCGCAAAGCGCCTCGTGCCGAGCCCGCCAGGAAGCTGTCAGCGCGCTGGGCCAATCACAGGCACTGAGACATTTCCCCATCTCTGCAGCTGCGGACCGGGAAAATGTCTCAGTGCCTGTGATTGGC